GGCCTCGCTGAGTAACCTAAGCCAGCTTTCTCCTCTGGCGAAAGGCCCCATCCAGGAATGTTCTGGGCTGTTGGTATCTTGGTAGGGGTTAGTTTGCTTGCGGCAATGTCTGGGTAGCAGAAAGGAATAAAAAGTTGCAAAAGGCTAGATAAAAAGACTTCTCGAGTACGGTGGAAGGTCCTGGCGGACACAGCAGCCTGCCTTGGAGGGAGAGAGGCGGGTGCAGACCCGGGCGAGGACCTGCCACCTTCCTGCGCGTGGTGGCTGGGCCTGCTGGCTGCCACCTCGCAGCGACCATGTGGTCCAGCAAGTAGGCAAAAAAAAAAAAAACCAAAAATGGGAAAGTGGAAAAATACATCCATGTCCCTCCAAAGACTTGGAAAGAGAGTCAGACTCCCTGAGCTGCACATGTCACTGCGTTGGGTCCAAGAAGACAACTGAATTCAGTGTATTTATCAATCTTCCCCAAAGGTAAGGGCGGCAAAAACTGTTCCCGACCCGGGGACCTCCTGTTCCTCCCATGGTCCTCCTTTGTGGGTCAGCTATAGAATCTTCTGGAACGTCTCTGAGCTCCTCGGAGACAAGAACCTTTTGTCCCCTAATGGGAGCACCTCCGGCAAGGCCTCGGAGAGAGAGGCTTTGCAACAGCGGGACCACGCACCCACACACTGGACACAGTGGGGTGTCCACGCCAGGTCTGTGAGCCCGGCTGGGGGAGGGCCTGGGCTGGACCTCAGAGGGTGAGGAAGGGTGAACCCATGACCTCCCTCAGGAAAGTAAACACACCTTGATGGGAGTGAAAACCCCAGTTTGAACTCGGTTTGCACCGAGTGTGTTTGGTTATATAACCAAGGATGGGACTGCGTGCCCGCGCCCTGTGCGCCCACGCTCTCCTCGGCGAGAGGGAGGTTTTCCTGGAGCGCGCACCATTCCTCTCTCCTTAGGGAAGGCAGGTCGCTGGCTCCTTGGCAAAACTTGGGTCCCCTCTTGGGGAACTGCTCGGGGGCCTTCTCCCTGCTGCACCCCCAACCCTATCCACACAGCACCCTGGAGTGCAGGGCCCAGCGCAGGAACACCCACAGGAGGGTGGGTGGCGACCAGGGGGCCAGCTGGGCTGCTTCAATCCTGAGCCCCCGCCCTCTGTCCGAGGGTTTGCAGCTGCCCTCCTGCCCTCCATAGGCGGCAGGGTCCCCCCAGGCCCCATCAAAACTGACCGCTCCCCACCGACACGTTTCCTTCCCTGAAGGTCCATTTGGACTTCTTAACTGCACAGTTGTCAGATACTAGAGCTCCGGGGCCTTGCAGACTGAACAGCTCAACCCCCTCATTTTAGGGGTGAGGTCCGGGGCGGGGAGGGACATATGGATGGCACAGGTAGGACACATGTCCCCTCTTCTTTCTAGGCCAACTCGCTTTCCGCACCACTGTATTACCTCAGTGAAAAGAATTGCTGAGGATTCGGGGTTGAGGGCCCTTCCAGAGGTGGGTTGGGGCATAAGCTCCAGGGGCCCCGCAAACCCACAGCTGCCCGCGCTTCCTGTGGTCCTCCGGGCCCAGTGCGCGTCCTTGGCGCGATCCCCTCAACAGTGGCTCCCCCTCATTCTGTGTGCCCGGCTGTGTTCCGCGGCTCTGCGCACCTCCACTCAAGAACGGAGAAATGGAGTCTGGCCGTCCCCGTGCCGCCTCGGGTCTGGGCCCGGGCCAGGACGCTGAAGAGGAGAGTCTGGGTGCCTGGGGAGTGGTTACTAAGCCTGGGGTCTATCGGGCTCGTGCGTCCATGGCTGGGGCTCCCTGTCAGCGGCAGTGGGAGCCCGGGACAGGCCCCTCTGCCCAAGCACACTTGACCACTTTGAAGAGACACCCCAGCAAAAGGCCCTAGGCCCATGGGGGCACACAGGTTGCAGCAGATGGCCTTGAGGTTCACTCTGGCTACCCTGCTGAGCAGCTACTGTCTGTGTGTCTTTGGAGGTCTTTCCCTTCCTGGCGCTGGGTGGGGGGCGGGGGCAGGCGCAGAAAGTTCCCGAGTCCTCTCGCGCTCAAGCTGGGCCAGTGCCGTTTACACAGGAGGTCATTCACACCGAAGGCCCTGGTGGCAGCCAGGCCCACACTCAGAAAACACAGATTAAGGTCGTCTGTGCCAGGAGCTCTCCTGCCCCAGGGCCTTTGCTCTCGCTCTTCCCTCAGCCTGGTGCACAGTCCCTGAGGGCAATCTGCCACTCGCCACTCCTCAGGATTATTCAGACATCACCTCTCAACCGCGGCTTCTCTTTCACCTGACACCCCTTTCCTCTCCAGGGTTTTACTGTCTTCTGATGCACTTACATTTTGCAAGTTTATTTTATCCTCCGCCTCTGCCTCCTAAACCTGCCCGCCTCGTGAGGGCACGTTCAGCCGCAGCCCCCTGCCCAGGGCAGAGCCAGCTGTCCCTGAGCACCGCCCACGCCTCCCAGGGAAACACACCGGTCCTCCACGGCCCTCCTAGGTGTGGAAATTTGGGGGAAAGCCACTGCCGAACAATCCCGGAACGTTTTGCTAAAGCAGCCGCGGCGGCGCTAGCCCTGAAGGAAGCAAGCTCCCAGCAGACGACGTTACTTTCTGGAGCCAGGACGCTTCCTGAGAATGTTCATCTTCAGCGGGGCTGCATTCAGGTGAGGCCCACGTCCTGGGCACTTTCCCACACAGCTCACCAGTCCGAGCAAAGGCTGAGCTGAGGGCAGAGGTGGCAAATGCACGCCCCCCAACTCCCCCCTTCCCGGGTGCGGGCTGCAGAGCGTCGCAGACTGCCAGGGCCGGTGAGGGGGGTCTGTCGGTGCAGGCGCGAGGGCAGATCCGGGCTTCGCGGAGCCCGACGCTTACACCGTGGGGGCGGGAGGGCAAGCGGGCCACGCAGCCTTAGAGGAAGAGGTCAACCTTAGCACAGCAGGATTGTGCCCAGGTGTCCCCCGGCTGCGGGGCGGGCAGGCCTGCTCTCCCGGGCGAAGAGCGGTGGGGGGGGGGGGGCGGGGGGGGGGGGGACCGGGCGGCGGACACGGAGGGCAGGAAAGCACACTCCAACCGCGAGATCTGACACAGCTTTCAGGACTCCGGCGACAAACAAGGGCATTTCACTGCGGGGCGCGACGCACCCTGGAAGCAAGACTCTCGGGGAGTGCGGGGCCTGGGGACCTCCGCCGCGTTCCCCCCCGCCCCTCCCTGTCCCTCCCGTCCCCCTCCTCTGCCCGAGCGCGCTCGCAGGGCCTGCCCGGGCCTCTTCCCCCAGCCGCGCGCTCCTGCAGCCCCAGGGGCCCGAGGCGTGAGCAAGTCACGCCTGCAAGTCCCACT